CTAGAGATCAATCAAATAATAAAAATAAGCTTTGAAATAAATTTATTTCTAAATGACTAACTTCTAAATAAAATGTCATCTTATATAATGCATAATATCCACATTTTCAAGTAAACTCATGCTCAGAAAAGCTGAATTAAGGAAACTCCTTGGATCACATAAGTGGTAAGTGGTGGGATCAGAATATGATCCAAGTCTGTGGTACTTAACCAGTACTTCACTGACAATACTGACGTGTGCAGATTCACTTCTTTGGAAGAAGACACTAATGAGGTAAAGTGACATTTATAACACCCACATGAACCTGTTAAACTTTGTTCAGGGTCAGGGTCAGAATGTCTAATTCAAGCATATTATGGTGTGTGTCATGGTTCTAAGGGAACCAGAGTGCAGTATGGGTGTAGTTCAGTGTAAAGTACAATGATGATAACAAAAAAGAAAAAAGTCCACTTTGAAAGACATACCTTTCTCTGTAGGCCATGAATAAAAAGAAATTTCAGAGAACACTGCAAATTATAAACTGGAGATTTCATTTTGATATTAGGAAATTTGTTAAAAGTGGAAATTCAGGGAATCAAGGGCATTATAACTGAATATATGAGGAGGCAATTTTATTCAGAGAGGAGGCTATAAACCAGGCATGATAGTATATATGTGCAATCCCAGGTACTTGGGAGGCTGAGGCAGGAGGATCATTTAAATCCAGGAGTTCAACACCAACATGGGTAACATAATGAGACCCCATCTCACTGAAAAATAGAGAAGTGACTATAATGGTTCTGTAAGGAGAAGTCATAGAAATCTTTGAGGGAGAAGCATGTCTATAAATGAAGAAAAACCCAATTAACTAATTTATTAGACTTTAAAAAAACTGCAGTAAATACTAGAGTTATAACTAATTGCTAATATTTTTCAAATTCACCAATGCATCTAGGCATAATTTTAATCATAGGTTTAGGACTAATTGTGAAACAGAAAATAATATAAACTAACAACTCATGAATACTGCTTTCCATTAGTGCTCTCAACCAAGTTTCTTGTTTCCACCATGACACTTAAAGATGTCATCTTCTAGTTCCAATGTCCAGATGTATTTCTGACTGTGTCAATGTATCTCCTTCATGTAAACATTTCAAACATAATGTGTCCCAGAGAAAGTTCACTTTTGCTATTCATATCACTCTATGCATGCCTCTTTAAATAGGCGAAAAGCACTATCAAGATGGTCCCTTTCAGCCTAAAATGCCAGGTGCAGCCTAGACATTTACTCTCTTGTTCCCACTGTATCTGAGTAGCCATGAGATCTGGACTATATATTTCTCCTTTTTAACCATCTCCCTTAAGATCCTCAGGATCTGTTGCCTCAGCTGTTCCAATAACTTTCTAGTTGATATACATTAACTAATCTCTCAGACTTAAGTTTCCAAATGGATTCCAATGTTATCTCCCTTTTTAAAACTATGATCATATTACTCTACCAATCAAATGTCTCTTAATTCTGTAATAATTAGGATTAAATCCAAGTCCTTGTTCCTCCATGATGTAGCCCTATTTTTCTCCTCTGGTTTCTCTTCCGAACAATACTTTCTGGGTTTCCATGTAATAGTCACACTGAACTCTTTGCCATTTTCAAAATTCTCTTGACTTTTGATGTCCCAGCACCTTTACATGTTTACACATCCTATTTCTTCTGCATGAATCCTATGCTATATTTCTGCTTCAAGAACTTACCCTCCTACTTGAAGATCACAACATATCCTCTGTGATGTTTTTGCTGGCATCTCTGGGAAAGTTTGGCATTCCCATGCCTATATTTCCTCAGCATCTCAGGATACTTTATAGAGTTGTCAACCTCCCCTACATACAACGCTCTGCCTTAAGCATTTTATTTACTTTTGCACTCAAGTCTGAGAATATAATAGGCTCTCAATAAATGCTGGTTGATCAAAAAATAGATGGATTTATTTGTAACCTCAGAAATTAGACAAACTTGAGGAATTTTATCCAATACTAATTTCTGCACATTTTCCAATGACATTGGATTTGTTTTGTTGTTGAAATTGCCAGATGACGAATATAAACAGAGTTAAGGATTATGCAGCTCTGACTAACCTAATAATAGAAATATTAAAACAAAATATACATAAATATAGAAAGATATCAAGTGATTCACTCAGCCTTTAAGAGGAATAAAAAGGAGGAGACTGGGAAAGGCAATAATTGAGCAGTATTTTAATGAGAAAAATGGTTTAATTTTTATGGACTTGATCATAAACATCTAGAAGGAAAAGTAGATAATGAAATATTAGGATGATTTCATCAATAATTAAATTAATAGAACTGTATAGCCCTATAACAGATCAGACCAAAAAAAAAAAATCATGTCAATACAGCTTGGGTAAAGTCACGAACTAGACCATTAACACAGGGAAGTTGGCATCATGTTTTTATATTTAAGAGATGTCAACTATTCTTAATCTACTTATCCTTAAAGACAAAATAAAATTCCCTAATTTTATGTTAAAAATGAATACCGCTCCCCTTCAGTATGACATTTGTGAATGATCATCTTACCTCCAATATGTTCCTTCATTCATCTGTCCTACTTCCAGTACATTTTCACAAAAAGCAAATTCTTGTTTTGTCAGTACTTTACCTCAAAATCTTCCAGAGGATTCCCCCCTCCCCGCCAAAAAAAAAAAAAAGCCATTTTGCAAGGCTTGATGCTATCTATTACTTCCTTGCTTCCTGCAAACCAACCAGCATCATTTTATGATCCACAAGCTCTTCTCGTGCTTTCTCAATGCTTACTCATTTTCTCCTTCTCTCTGAAACTCTGTTCATCTTTTCCCTCTTTTATAATACCCATCACAACAAAAAATAAATAGATTTTTATAATTTCCCAATGTAAAAAGTGTTTGCTCTGGCTTTGGGCATACTCAGATGTATATTCTATCTCTGAAACTTGAAGGTGGGCAAAGTCACAGACTCTCTAGAATATAGATTGTTTAATAGGCAAATACCAGTGTCTAATTATACAATGTTATAGGCAAATAACTGTCTCTAATTCCTTTTACAACCCTGCCTCAACAGGTCAAAGGTGCATTTTGCACATTTGCAAGTGCCAATGCCTCTTCCATCTGTGAACACATAACTTTGGTAATCTGTGTCTACGGGTGACTTAGGGCATTCTATTTTCAAGAGCAAATTATAGTTTATAACAAAAGAAAAGGGGGAAAATACTTGAAAAGTTTTTTAGTACTATACATTACACAACATTATGAGACATTTTGCAGACTTGACTTTGAAATAGCATTTACCAGCTTGCCTGGCACATAAAAGAATAACTGATAGTGGTTATTATTAGCAGTATTATTATTAGTACAATTATTGTGATTATTATTTGATGTGCCTATTTCCTCTTTTTAGCCTGCACAGCATTCTCTGTCTATCTAGTTATAAACTTTTTTCAATTACTTGTATTCATGTGTCAGCCTTTCTGCTCATTTTGTAACTTTCTTGACATCAAGGATTTTGTCTTAATCTGTTTTTTTTAAGTAATCTTTCACACTTCCATACATTCAAGAATTCAAAAAAAATGTTTTGAATTGAATACTATGTACTAAACATGTAATATATAATTACGAGGTGATATGAGATAAAATTGACTTTCTTTGTAAGCAATATCATAGTGAGAAACATGAATAACTGTGAAAACTCTCAGTTTTCCTGGCATATCTTAAAAAGCAGGATTCTATGTAATAATCATGCTTACAATTTTGGTCTGCTACAGAGGAATCAAGTTAGTCAAATCACTCAAGTTTAAAATACTAAAGGGCTTAAAACTTAATTTATTTTGCTGATTTATCTTCACGGTTCACTCCCTAGCTTTTTCATATCTGTTGGCTCTATGTTCAGATCACCTCCCCTGAGAGGTCTTTTGTGATCTCTCTAGACAAAGCGTTCTTATATTTTAGCACTTGCAATATTATAGACTATTTCTTTATTTTCTATTTCTTGCCCTGAGACTGTATGTAATTCCATGAAAGTAGAGACTTTCTTTTGTTTATTTCTTTATTCCAACACCTAGAACAGTACTTGCATTGTGAAAGGCATTCAGAAATTACCATTGATTTAATAAATGAATGAAAACAGAGTTAAATCATCACTTTTTGGGTGTACTGAAAAAACAAAAACAAAAAAAAACTCATAGGACTGATCTGAGAGGTTTAAAATGTAAAATGAAAGAAAAAGAACAACCAAGGTAGCAAATAAGTCCTTCAGACAATACTTTTTTAGCTAGTAATGTCCAATGTCTCCTCATTGTAAATTTTATTATTAGTTTGGTTAAATTAATTAGTCATAATGATAAATCAAATAAATTAATAAAATTGTATGGCTTTTTTTTGAGCTTATCAAAAAGAGAAAAAAGTAAATAGCATCATTGTTGTTTAGATATGAGGTGTCCCCCAAAAACTCATGTGTGAGACAATGCAGGGAAATTTAGAGGTGCAATTATTGGGTTAAAAGAACTTTAACCCAATCAGTGCATTAATTCCCAGGTAGGATTAACTGGGTGGTAACTGTAGACAAGTAGGATGTAGCTAGAGGAAGTAGGTCATTGGGGGCGTGCCTTTGGGCTATATATTTTGCTCCTGAAGAGTGAAACTCTCTATTATGGAGGAATAGTGTGGTGAAAGAAGGTCAGGACATGGTTACCAAGTAGCAGGCAGGGAGAGAGAGTTGCTTGTTCCTGTAAGGCACTAAGCAAATGCATTTAATGGCACAAAAAGATCCAGTAGACCTCCCTCTCTCTCTCTCTATCTCTATCTCTTTCCCCCCCCTCTCTCTCTTTTATTTTGTTTGCATTCTGTATATGTTAAATGTCCACCAGATTTCTATAAATTGTATTTTCGTATTACCTAGAAGATGTGGATGATAATTATATATATATATATATATATATATATATATATATACACACATATATATGGCTCACTCAATAACCAAATCCCAAATCTCATTATTTCAAATTTAGTAATATTATTAAGTTAATAAGCATTCATAGACTGCCTCCTATGTGCAGAGTACTATCAGGCACTGTGACAAATATTGTGTCTTAATATTAAGAAAAAAACATTGATGAGAAAATAGGCAAAAAACAAGAACAACAAAACAGGAAAATATAATTCAACTCAAGTGGAATGATAGACTATGAAAAGGAAGTGCAAAAGAATATAGGAAAAGCACTTGCCCATTCAGCACAGCATCAAGGAAGGCTATGACAAGGTATAATGTCGGCAAGAATGGATGGAAAATGCACATTATACTTGCCACCCTTCTTCCAACCTGATGGATGCTACTAATTCAATCAATCCTAGACTTAACTGTAAACTCTTTAACTTTAGCTGTGCAGAAACACTTGGCCAATTTATCAGAATTTTCATTGGCCATGAGATCTATCTATTGGCCAGCACTGTGGTTTAAGTGGATGTTTTTTAGACAGTAAAAAAGGGCAGTTAAAAAATAGAGAAAAAAAAAAGACATAGATTATGGTTCAAAGTCAGCCTGGAAGGCCAGCGTGAAAGAGAGAATGAATTGACATACGGAAGAAATTTTTAGGTGGTTCAGTATGACTGAAGAACAAAGTTTGAAAGAAAAATACTGAGAAATGAAGGTAGAGGACTAAAATGAACAAGTTGGTAGAAGGCATAGTAAGTGACAGTAAGAAGCTTGGGTTGTGGCACATGCCTATAATCCCACTGGTTCGGAAGCTGGAGGCAGGAGGATTGCAAGTTATAGGCCAGCCTTAGCAAGTTACCAAGGCCAACTAAGGTTACTAAGCAACTCAGCAAGACTTTGTCTCAGACAAAAAAAAAAAAAACTTAAAGGGCTAGGGAAATGGTTTGGTGGTTAATTGATCCTGAGTCCAATCTGTGCCAAAAGGAGGAAGAGAAAAAAGAGGAGGAGGAAGAAGAGGAGGAGGAGGAGGAGGAGGGAGAAGTGGAGGAAGAGGAGAAGGAGGAGAAAAAGTAAAAGTAGTTTGGACTTTATTATGTTAACAATGCAGAATGAACCAGCTCTAGTGACCTTGAGTTCTCATCTAGGCTAGCCACACCCACTCTTTGGCCTCCTGTATTCTCTTAGCTTCCTTTTCCTCCCAATTCATGGCTATAGCCACGACTTGGTTTTTTAACTTGCATCCAAGCTGCACTGGATTTGGTTCTAGAAAACACATGACACATGTTGGTGTTTCCCCAACCCATTTACTGTATAAGCTAGAAGTTTTCTAATTTTTCTACTTTTAAATTTAGCCCAGAGTAGGAGAAGATTCTCCAACAGGTCTATACTATAACTTGCTCTGCCACATAAGGCTTTAGATCTAACAGATACCAAAAATGCTCAAAGTGTTGGTAATAAAAAAAATCAGCTATATAAAGACTCTGAAAAGCCTCAAAAGCAAAATCACACTGTACATTCTGAGATTCTGGAATACAATCATAACTCTTTTCGTTTATAAATGTCCTCCTTTTAAAAGCAGACTCTGGCCTCTGTGAATCTTTTTCAACATTAACCATGAGCTACCGAGGGATTTATGCTATTCATCAAGAATGAGATTTGAGGGTCAAAGGGTGGAACAGGGCACATGTTTAAGAAGACAATGACGTGTTTTTATGTACAAGGTAGTTGACTCACTTTTTAGTTGACTCATTGATGCTGTTGCTTGAAATCTATGAGATGTGAACATGGGTAGAAAGGTGAGAGTCAATACTGAGCAGCATAAGGGGCAGCTAGTAAAGATCCTAGCCTGTTGCCAGTAAGATAGTTCTCTTTCTCTCCTTCCTGGGCTCTGTATCTTCAAAGGTGGACAGCTATAGGTGTCATTTCCCAGCATTCCACATTAAGTTGACTCCCAGTTAAATTCAGCTGGTGGACATCCTTGGTACTCAGTTACTGAGTGGAAAGTTTTCTCCTTCCTCTCTGTTTGAAGTGTCATCTCCAGGGTAAATTGCATTTCTTCTGCTACTCCTGCTAGATAGGCCCATTGCCAAGGTATTCGCAGGTGAACCTGGCCTCTTGGCAGCAACTCCACCGCTCCTTTCTCACCTGAATAGGGGTTTCCTACTGTAGGTTGTCTTAACATTTTCCTGACTGGTTTCTCAGCTCTTCTCCCAACTGTATAATCAATTCACTACATTACATTTCTTGTGTTGGAGTAATTGAGATGGTTTCTGTTTTCCTGGAGAGGCTTCTTATGGATGAAATAGCTATTGATAAAATATTTTGATACCCAGCAGTGACTTTCACTCTGTAACAAGAGAGAATTTTTTTAGAAAAACTGATTAGATGTTATTTTAAATCTCATAATTTTCTTTTCCAGAAATAAGTTATTCCTAAAATCTCAGGCAGAACACAGAAACGTGGCAATATATGGCTATAACTATAATAATTAAAGCAGAACATTAAGAAGAACATTATAGGAATATGAATTATAAAATTAAAATATGAATATGACAAATAAAAATTCACTGAATTCAATTAGATATCTATTCAATTCATAACTTCTTATTTTATTTTGTTCATAATAATAGTCAATTTGCTAACAAGCATTACATCCTTCATTTCTTTGACGTATAACATAGGCCAAATCACATACTGACTAACATTTGAAGCGTTATTCTAGATTGCATTGGCATTCTGTAAATAAAAAATATATACTATGATATAGCAAGGTAAATTGTTATTATAATGAAGTGACCTCATAAAGGAATTTCATTTTCTTGATTTTATATAAAGGTACACGAATATAAGATATTTGTGTATCAGATTTGAGTTTTTTTCTATTTCTACATTAAGTAAGTAATGAAGAGATACAATCTTTCCGGCCAAAAATCATCTACTAACCAGAAGAGTATTTATACTATCTGACAATGCTTCTGGTCTTTTGATTAGCAAAGATTTTTGTACCTCAATATTTTTATCTTTCTAAATTTTAATAGATTTTTTTTTAGTCAATATGATATATATTGAATATGTAGAAGTATTTTATTCATTTATTTTTTAATAAAACCATACAAAGTGTTAAACATAATTACCTCCATACTGATTCCACAGGCCTCCAGGTAGACAGAAATAAGGTGGTATAGAGACAGAGGGTTGCAAATCCTGTACCTAAAGAAGAGAAGAAAGTTCCTGAGGTAGAAACTAATTGTAGTGATTCCACTCCTCACATGGGCAGAAAATGATGAGAAAATAAAAGAGAAAAAAGGGGGGAAAGCAAATTATGTAAGTCCGGTACCTAACTACATTTTACACATAGGCATATTAATTTTGACATGTAAAAAAGGTCTTTCACATGGCCTTAACATAGACTTATTTTTTTTTTAGAGGATACAATTATAAATTGTAGTGAGATAGTATATCATTTGGTGAGGAGTTTTAACCAAGAGTTTCTCACCATTTTATAAAGTCACATTGCAAGACCAGTGCTGCAGCTTCTCTTCTGGTTGCAGACCCACAGGAAATGAAAGCACCACCTCACCAGGGCATCTCCATTTCTACTTTCCCTGCAGCATCATTCACTATAACCAAGACATGGGAACAAGGAGGTACCCACAGATGGAGGAAGGATAAAGAAATTGTGGAAATACATATGTGCACGTGAAGACATACACACAACGGACTACTATTCATTGTTTTAGGAGAGCATGCCATTTGTCACAACAAATGGATAGATATGGAGTATATTATGCTAACTGAAATAAGCCAGAGATAGAGAGGAAAACATTGCATGGTCTCAGTTATGTGTGGAATCTTTTTAAAAACAAATAGTCAAATAGCTATAGACAACAAAACAGGTAATGACCACCAGGGTTGGAGTGAGGAGAAGAAAAAGGGGAGCTGTAGGTCAAAAGACACAAAGCAAAGACATGTAGAATGAGTTTAAGTTGAAAGATCTAATGTACAATATGAAAACTGTAGGTAATAATAGTGTAATAGATACAGGATCTTGCTAAATGAGTAGATTATATGTACTCTTGGCACAGGGTTAAGGAAATAGATATCTGTGAGGTGATGGATATGTTAATTTGTTTCATTACAATAATCACTTACTATATATACAAGTATCTCATAGTATTATGTCATACACTTTAAACAAATAATAAAAATTTAATTTTAAGAAAAGCAGCACTATTTATAGTATTTCAGATGTCAATATGCTCACCAACACACTTATCAACCTGAAGTTATAGCCGCCACCTTCACAAAGTTTTATGTATGTGCAAGCTTCTAACTATTTTCTTATGGTCACAGTAAAGTAAACATGCTTGATGATTTACACATTTAAAAATACATTTTTATTATGCATCACTTTCTGCTTATTTGCTTTTTACTGAAATTCTGGCATGATATTGTTATTAATAGAGTTATATGTGTTCATATGTTAAGTTATATTATGATTTTCCTTTCACTATAATAAAGGTAGCATTATAAAATATTTGCTTTAAAATGTGTATACATTTGTTTGGGTTGAGAACCAGGGCCCCAGGATAAACTCACTCATTGAATATTCCTTCTCCAAACATGGTGCCCAATCAGTATTTTATTTTTAAAAGTCAACTGCCAGTCAACTGTTTCCCTATATTTGAGGGGGAAGGAAAAGACTAAAAAAGAAAAGAAAAAAAATTTTTTAAGAACTGATAAAAAGAAAACTAGAAAAAATAAAACAAGACAAAGAAAGAAAGAAAAATAACCCTAAAAGAGTGAGTGTGTGTGTGTGTGTGTGTGTGTGTGTGTGTGTGTGTATTCACAATAGCAGTTCCTAAACTGTGTGGTCTAGAGACCCTAAAGAGTCCTTGAGACTTTTGCAAGAATCTGAAAAGTCAAAACTATTTTCATAATACTACTAAGATGTTCCTTTCTTTTTTGCTCTCAGACTCTCATGAATGTATAGTAGAGTTTTTCAGAAGCAGCACAATATGTGACGTCATATAATAAATTCAATTAGAAGTAGGTACGTGGATCTTTCTTCTGTTAAGCAAGACATTAAAGAGATTCGCAAATATAAACTATATGTATGTAATATTTATAGCTGTGCTACTCATGAAGTTATCTTTCTTTTAGGAAATATAATTATTTAATAATTATTCTAGAATATAATAGGTTTACTGTTATTTTTAAGTGAACATTTTTAACATGGTCATGTATCACTTAGCAACACAGATACATTCTAAAAAGTACTTTGCTATGCTCCTTTGTTGTGCAAACAGTACAGAGTGTACCTGACACAAACTAAGATGGCAATGATGTCACTAGGTAATATAACCTTATAGGACCACTATCATCTATGTGGTCCAACATTGACCAAAATGTCATTATGTGGCACATGACTATGTGACCCGACTTTAATTGCTAAGATGTATTAAATATCAATATATAACCCTCATAAATAAAACCTCTTTGGAACACTCAATAATTTTTTAATATTTGGATTATTATGACAACAGAGTTTAAAGACCACTGATCAGCTTTTAAAGTATGTATCATTCATATATACATATATGTATGTGTATATATATATAATACATATATGCACACAGTTATACATAATATCCTAAAAACTATTGGTAACCTCAAAATGAAGACAGAATAACACAATAGAGGAATAATCAGAGAAAACCTTGTATATATCTTATATAATTAAAATAGAGCACATAACATGTTCTATAAAAAGAAGTTTGAGCTAAAAATATAATTGACCCACTTCAATCTAATGTATGAAATATGATATGTCAAGAGCTTTGTAATGTTGTGAACAACCAATAAAAAAATAAAAAAATAAATAAAAATATAATTGAGTAAACCTCTCATAATAAACAATAGAACATGAAGTAATGGAATATATGCAGGGAGAGAAAAGAAAATTAGAGAACAGATCCAGAGGTTCTGATAGCCAATAATGAGAATTTCAGAAACAAAATTAAAAATGTAAAAAAGTTCAAAGAAATAATACACAAAAATCATAGAACCAAAGGACAAAAATTGCCAGATTCAATGTCAAACACAATAAATAAAACAAAATTTACTCACATGCAATGTTTCACAACATTGAGAATAAAAAGATCCCAAACCTTCAAAACAATGAAAGATCAGAAATAAAAATGGGAACATTTGAAATAGAAAGAAAATGAAGAAATTCTGAAACTTTTTAGTGAAGATAATTTCATGCTGGAATTCTATATTCAAACTATCAATCAAGCCTGTAGATGAAATAACATTTTAAGACAACCGTTATTACCCAAATTTCCCCTCCCATGCATATATCTGAGTAAATTCTGAAGAGAGAGGTAGTCATATTAGAAATGTGAAATTAATGAGTTTAGAAAATAAGGGAAGCAGCCCAGGGGTGTCCTATTGGATTCTCTGGATCTGCAACAGGCATGAGGAGCAACCCAGCACAGGAGGAATGTCCGAGAAGGTCAGAAGTGTTGGCTGAGAAGGTCAGAAGCATTGGCGGAACCCACAGAATTTCCCTGAGTCCAAACTTGTAGGAAGAGTGCTGGCAGCTGGAAGTTTGCTGGGGCCCCTTTGGCTATGGCTCTTGGCTCCTCTGCCGTGATGTTCATTGGGCTGTTTCCCCACCCTTCAGACTGCCAGCTGATGATTGGCTCAGGGCAGCCCCAGCAACATCTAGCTGATTGGATCCTCTGCGGTGATGCTCATTGGGCTGTTTCCCTGCCTTTCAGACCACGGAGCTGCTCATTGGGGGACTTCTTTGGCTCCGCGCACACGACCCAGCCAATTGGCCTCAACAAAGAGGATATTTAAAGGTGTGGGAAGGATATTGATATTTATAGAAAACTAATCATATTTAGAAATGATGAAACTATTTGTTGAAAAGAGGAAAGGTTGAAATGAAAGGAAAAGTAATCACCACACAGCCCTCTCATCTAATATGGGCAATAATTTACCACAAAGGAGTTGAGCCCTCTGCATTCCACTTAGGCTGAAGCCTTATGAACTTTCTTGGCAACAGAAATGCAGACAAGATCTGTAGACAGTAATAAGAGTAGCTACTATGAGTGCCTAGAAACCTAGACTCGAACACACATTAATTTATGTGTATGAATTTCAGAATATTTTAAGTAAATGTAGAAAGGTATAATTTCATATTTATGAAATTAAAATAAAATTTCACATACTCTTTTATAGTATAATAATGATGATACTTCATACTTTTAATCAGACAATCTGAAGCACTTTATAAACATTAGCAAAATTAAGTCTTACAATACCCCATGTAGTAGTTAATAATAATCATTCATTATATACTCAATAGTTAAAATGAGACATCAAGAGATTAAATGATTTATTTCAAGATCATGCATTCCCTGAGTTTCAGAGAATAGTTGCTTGCAATTTTCGGTATATTTTGATATAGTTGTCCATATTCTCTTACCAATTGAATTATTATAGATAACATGCTAAACTCTGTGTTTAGTGTCACCATCTAGATTTCAGGGTCATCTGGTCACATTCTTGGTTTGTGCCATTTCCATATTTCCCTTTGGTAGGATACGATATAAATCCACAGCAGACCAAATGCCTCTTTTGTTTCCCCCTGGGCATCTCAAGGTAAGTTTTTGTAATGTAAGCATATTACCAAAATAGCACCCATATTTAACAATTTATGCTTTGAAAAAATCCATTCAACCTTAATTAATCAAATATTTATTAAGTGATTTTGTATGCCAAGCCCTCCAGATTTGATTTCTACTATCACAGATCTTAGTGCTTACCAAGAAGGCGTGAAAATTTTAAAAAGCAAATTATAGTAAAGTCAGTCAAAGGCCACTAAGAAATAGTATAATACCAAACAACCAAACAACAATGAATGCCCCACCTAGATATCCAATGAGCATGATTTCAAAGCTGAGGTTTGAAGGATGAATAAAAATTAACCAAGCAAAGATGAACAAGAGTGTTTCCGTAGAAGACGACATTCACGATACAGCACCAGAAATGAAAGGAGCTGCTGTGTTTAGGAAGCGGAAATCTGATCAGAATGACTGGAAACAGAAAGGTCCTGAGAAGGAGTAGGTAGAAACAAGGTTATAGGTGTAGAGATAACAGCTAAGCCATGTTGAATAATTTCGACTTTTCTAAAGGCA